GAAGCAGGCTCTGTGCAGGGAGCCCAACACGGGACTCGATTCCGGGTCTCCAGGATCACGCCCTGAGCTGAAGGCGGTGCTAAACCTGTGAGCTACCCAGGCTGAAATGGCTACTATATCAAATGGTATACAGAACATTTCTATCATCGCAGTTCTATTGAACAGTGCTGGCCTAAAGTTTTTAGTATTCACTTCATCCCTCCCAGAAAAAAAATTTAAAAGACAGATATAATTTTCCAGTCTCCTGAGAACTCCCTGGGGTTCCACAACATCCTAAGGAATTCCACAAATCAGGTATCATTATCAACATCACCACACTCTACCATCACCATCAGAATGTTGATTTTTATTGAGTACTTACTCTATTCCAAGCACTTTATTAAAAGCTTTATTAATATATTTCATTTGTTCTTCATAACAATCACATGAGATAGGACTATTTTTCCCATTTTACAGGTGAGAAAATTAACTGAGTTTTAGACAGTAAAGTAACTCATTCAAAGCTATACAGCTACAAAATGACAGCAATCCATAGAGTTTAAGCAAATTAAAAATGTAATAATTTTGCCTTTTCAAGACAACACGCTATTTAATATAAAGGAGGACTGACCCAAACCTCACACTAGCACTCAACATTCCAGCAGACCAAACCATTTTCAGATCGTTCAATTTGCCCTACAGCTTTCTGGCATTTGGGCTTTGCAAACTCTGTTCCTTCTACTTGCATCCTTTTCATTCAGCCAAATCCTACGTATCCTTAAGATCCCATTGCAGATCTTCCAACAATTCAGTTTAGGAATCCAGTATGTGTGCTGATGTAGAACCCTAAAGTTACCTATTGAAGCACAGCAGCCCACAAACTCCTATTAACGTTTCCTCTTCTCTCACTAGAATAAAACTCCTTAAGAATAAGGGACCCTGTCCACTATTCATCATGGATTCCATCTGGGCTACCCTAGGATTTAGGACATTAAAAGTACTCAACAAATATGTGATAAATGAAGGAATAATGAAATCATTTCACAAGCATGTACTCAACCAAATAAAATGCTAAGTTGACTTACACAAACCTATGTTTCTATTCAATCAAAGAATATTAAAAGTACACACTAAATGGCTTACTTGCCATTTTAGTTGGTAAACAAGTATTTTACAAACATTATCTCCCACAGAAATACAAAAGAAAACTGAAAAACTGGAATCCCTGGGTGGCGCAGTGGTTTAGCGCCTGCCTTTGGCCCAGGGCGTGATCCTGGAGACCCGGGATTGAATCCCACGTCGGGCTCCCGGTGCATGGAGCCTGCTTCTCCCTCTGCCTATGTCTCTGCCTCTCTCTCTCTGTGACTATCATAAATAAATTTTTAAAAAAAACTGAAAAACTAAAGGTCAAGAAAGTAACTGCTAACGGGTTTAGGGTTTCTCTTGAGGGTGAATTCAGAAAACATTGCAAAATTGATTGTGGTGATAATTATACACACCAAAAAGAATTGAATTATACACTTTACATGAGTGAATTGTGTGGTGTATGAATTATTTCTCAATAAAGCTCTTATAAATTTTTTTAAAAAGGACTACAGGTAGCTAGGCTTAAATTATGAAAATACTAAACCTGAAAAAAAAAAAAAAGACCTAGAAGAGAATATGTTATATTTATGCAATTTTAAAATAGCTAACCCATATTATTGCACAAAATTGCACTGGTTAGGAAAAACAACTTGGAAACAGTGACTGCCTTCAGGAATAACATGATGGGACAGGAGACTTACTTTTCCACATGTACTCTTGTATACCTTCTGACTTGGTACATGTCTTACCTCCTTTTTTTTTTTTTTTTTTGGTAAAGATTTATTTATTTATTTATTTATTTATTTATTTATTTATTTATTTATTTCATTCATTCATGATAGACATAGAAAGAGAGAGGCTGAGACACAGGCAGAGGGAGAAGCAGGCCCCATGCCGGGAGCCCTATGTGGGACCCAATTCCGGGACCTCAGGATCGTGCCCCGGGGCCAAAGGCAGGCGCCAAACCACTGAGCCACCCAGGGATCCCCCAATGTCTTACCTATTTCTTAAATGAGTATAACAGTTATTAATATATTTTTAAATAACAACAATGTCATATCTGTCCTTAGTCTAAGTATACTTTCATTGACTGCCTATTTTGTTCTGAGAAGAATAAAAACTGAACTATATGTTTCTAAAAAATCAATCCAGGGAGGGCAGCCTAGGTGGCTCAGCAGTTTAGCGCCACCTTCAGCCCAGGGCACGATCCTGGAGACCCGGGATCAAGTCCCACGTTGGGCTCCCTACATGGAGCCTGTTTCTCCCTCTGCCTGTGTCTCTGCCTGCCTCTGTGTGTGTGTGTGTGTGTGTGTGTGTGTGTGTGTCTCATGAATAAATAAATAAATAAAATCTTTTAAAAAAATAAAATAAATCAATCTAGGGAAGTAAAAAACTGACAAATTCTTACATCTATTTCATCTCACACTAAAAAGCATTTACTCATTTTCTGATATTAGACATTATAATCATATAAATTCTCCCTTACCCAACACTCTGACACCTCTTTAAACAATGACACACACTTAAATCATTCCCTCCTCCCTGAAAACTTCCTTTTCTTCACTTCTAGTACATCATACTCTCCTGGTTTTCCTAACCCAATAACCTTTTATCAATCTCCTTTGCCAGGTTTCTCTTCATCTCCCCAAAAGGTATCCAGAAAGTAAGTTCCATGAAGGCAGGGATCTTTGTCAGTTTTGTTCACTACCCCAATAAGCTAAAAAAGCACCCAGAACCATACTCAATAAATAACCATTGATTGAATCAGTGCCCCAAGGCTCAGATGTTGAAGAGCTACAGAAATAAACTATATTCTATATAACCTGAATGCTGTTTACTTCATTCCATTTTGTCAAACTTGATAATGAATATGTACTGATTATTTGGTTAACCAAAATACTTCATTCCCTGGTCTTCCCCCATTGATGTTTTGGTATGATTATGTGTAAAATACACATAAAATAATCACAGTAATGACTAGCAAGCAACATTCTTGAAAAATAAAATGTAGTAATTTTTTCAGGCATAAGAAATTCTAAAGAGAAACAGACCACTCCTACCTTAACCTTTCTCCCAAATCCCATGATTTCATTCCCACAAAGAATCACATCCCACTGTCAGCCATTCAAATGTAATTTTAGCAATATACATACAAAGTTTCACTTGATATTTTAGTTCACATTTGTCTTCATGAGTACCCAATTAAATCAAAGTATAATTTAAAAACCAAAACTAGATATGTGAATTTTAATTTTTCCTTCTAAGTAATCCAAAATCAAAACTTCTAATTTGATCTGAATACATTTAATCTTTTAGAATTACAAATTGTGGACACACCCTTTCTCACTTAGTAACTATTGTATCATCTGTTGCCTATAAGTCTCTCCAAACAGAAGTATCTTTTAAAAGATAACAGTCTGCTCATTAATTAGGCATGTTAAAAAAGGCAATGATCTGCAACTACTGACACTCATATCTGTATATTTCTCTCTTGGGTTACAGGAAAGCATTTCTCTGGCTACGTTCCCAAAAAAAAAAAAAAAAAAAGAGTAAGCCTTGGGAAAGTCACTGCTTAAATTCCACTTCATGACGGTTTCTCTTCCTCCACAAATGAATTATTGAGAGTCATGCCTACTTCCATCCATTACATAATACATGTCCATCACAGGACCTGTCTTCTGAGCAAGAAACAGCTTAAATGACACTAACTGATAGGTAAGGTCAGTGAATACTGTGATCTAATAGGGAGCAGGAATCGAGAAAAGATTCTGATTTAATGTGCAAAGTTGTGAAACGCTGATGTTTTGAACACTGAACACCGTTTACTCTGCCACCCCTATGAAATGAGTTACATGCCCCCAAAATGTTATTAAAGAGCATTTTAAAAGCACTTGACTCCGGGAACATATCTCAGAAATTGAAGGACCTACCGAAAAAAATTAATTCCACTTCATTTTTAAAGGGTCTAATAACATTAGCAATTGAGAAATAAAAATAATCTCCAATAATTGTGTTGAACACAAAGAGTCTAAATGTTAAGGTCTGTTGAAAAACGAGCTGTAAAAGACAACTGTGCTTTAAAACATTTTTCATATAATTAGCTCCAACAGAACTGTTCAAATTATCCATCCAAAGCAGTCAACCACAACCACCTGCAACTATTACTCAGAAATGTGTCTTCCAAAGCAACCACCTGATTTTCAGGCCTTCCCTTAAGGGGACAGGATAAAGCTTCTAAGTGAGATGGTATAAAGAGATCTTTCAGGCACAGAAAAAAGACTGGAAGATAACACCTTTAAGGAACTAGGTGTAATGGGACCTACACCCTTATGTTGTTGCCAGAATGAAGTTGTCTTAACCCAAGATCTCACTCTTCTTGAAGGGTGTAAAAGTTTAAACCCAGCCACCCTCACAATTTACCCACCTGCGCCAAAAGCAGAGGGCTTCTCTTCCCTCTCGTCCCATCCCGCCAGGAGGAAAATAATAATAATCAAACACCAAAGTAGAAATGTGAGAGCTGGTGCAACAGCTTCTCCAACTGCCTCAAAGGCAACATCCACAGCTCCTCTCCCTTTTGAAATAGTCCTTCATCTCCTCTCTTTCAGCATTTGACAACAGTCGCCTGAACACACAGATCCACCCTGACCGCACCCCAACCCCCTCACGGCTCCCCATTTCTCCACCCCCCCACCACCTCGCCCGCACCACCACGCCTCAGAAAGCCTCGCTCTCCAAGCACCGGGAACCCCTACTCCCGTCTCCCACCTCGGGCTCCCCGCATCTACCGCCTCAGCTCCCGCCCAACCCTGGAGCTGGCGGGGTGGAGCCCGCGGGGGGCTGGGATGGGCTGGGATGGGCTGGGGTGGGGCCCGCCCCTCCCCGGACGGTCCCATCCCCCCGGTGGGGAGAGGGGGGAGGGGGTCCTGAAGCCTCACCTACGGCTCCGCCCCTCCCCGGGGGCGCGCTGCCCAGCCCTAGCCAGGGCCGTGAGGAAGAAGCAGGCTAAGAAAAGGCAAAAAAGCCTCAGCGCCAGCGGCAGGCGGGAAGCTCTCAGTCCCGCCCGACTTCCGAGCAGCCTACACGGCGGCCGTCTCACCCTCCTCAGGGGGGCTGCTGCTGCTGTTGCCGCTGCTGCCGCCCGGGCGCCGCCGCACCGCCGCCGCCACCGCCGCCGCCGCCGCCACTACCGCCGCCGCCGTCGCCGCCGCCACAGCCACAGCACGGCCCCAGCGCCCGCCGACGTCACCGCGCCCCGCCCCCTGCGCGAGACACCTAGCCCCGCCCCGGTCCGGCCGCGAGACCTCGCGAGCTCCGCCCCCTCCTGTCCCAGCCACCTAGGCTGCCCGCACCCTCCTGGGAGTGCGCGTAGCAGCCCGCCCGCCTCCGGTGCCTTCCAGACGGAGGTGGGTCAGGGGTGACGAGTGGGGTGACTCAAGATTCCGGCGGCGATCGCGCGCTCGAGCACAGCAACGGGCGCGGGGCGTCCACACCCCCACGCGCGGCCCCTGCGGCCACGGGAAGGGAGAGCCGGACTCGGCTCGGGGAAGCGGCGGTAGGTGGGAACGCGGCCAGGCGGCGTTTGTCTCCTTGGGCTTGCCGTAGGAAGCGGGCGGGCCGGGCCCGAGGAGCGGAGTCGTAGCTTTCCCAAACCTTAGGGTCGCCCCACCCCCTGCTCCGAGGGGCTGTCCACCAGCCCCGGGACCGCCGCCGCGGCGGAGTGGGTCTGAGGTCGTCGTGCGTTCCGGGCTGCGCTCCCACGGCTGCAGTGGGAGCCCTTTGCCCGGGGGAATTGTATTTTCCTCCACTCTTTGCTTCTGCGAATGTGGCCGCGGGGCTGCCCACTAGACCTCAGGGAAAAGCAGGCGTCGCACAAGACCTACAACAGGGTGCTTGGTTTTTCTGTAGGAGCTCCGCGGGGCGGAAGAGCGCCGGCGGGATTTAAGGTGCACGTTCAGCTGTGCGATGTGCCACATGCGGTGCTACGTTGTCTTATTCGGCCCTCAGAGCATCTAGGCGAGTCCGCTGGGCAAATGGTACTTCATTTCAGGAAACGCAATTTTCTTGTCATGAATCGCAGTCGATTTTCTTCCACCGGAGTCATGCAAAGAGGGCAACTGCACCTATTATTTAAGAATGTAGGTAAACTATCCCTTAACCAAGAAAGTAGGAGTGCTGTGAATTACATTTGCCCCAGCGTTCTCGGTTGCGTCAAATAATTTAAAATGGCCTTACAAGGAGTAGACTCGTCATTTTACCCCTACTTATTCTCCACCACAGTTAACCAATTTACACTCCATAATTCCACTAACATTTTCCCGTCCCTCTTCAATGTTAACATTCATTCATTCACCAAATTCTACTCTTTCACCCCGCCCAGACTCTGTTCCCTCCCAGATCACCACGCACTTGGATTATTGCAGTTCCCCGTCCCGCTGTATAGTCGCCCCCTTCAGTACATTCACCATATGCCTACCATTTGTTAAGATGTGCTTGCTGCCAGAGAAGGTTGTATAGCTGCCAAATAAGCATCCTAAAATACTTCATTTTTTTAGACATCTGGCCTTCCCCCCCCCCCAGAAAAAAAGCCATCCTTCTTCCACTATTTTTCAAGATCTTTCTCATCTAACTGCTGATTTACTCATCCTTTTACTCCCCGGCAGGGTGGTGAGGTAAAAGAAAAGTGGGAGTCCCATCCTAGTTTCCATTATGCCACTTTCTACTTGTATGACCTAGGGAAAATCACTTTATTTCTGGGTTCTACTTTTCTTAACTGTAAAATGGGATGTGAACTAGATGTCTGAGATCCAACATATCACTAAAACGTGTGGGTTAGTATGCTAAGCACTAAGTTATACATACAACAGGGTGCTAGCAATATCACAGACTCAGAATTTTGGCAGCTTGTTTTCTTATGTTTTGGGAGGGGGTTTGTTTTTTGTGGGGTTCTTTTTTTCCCTCCCATTGGTTGTTTTTTCTTATTCCCGACTCTGCCCCAGATTTTTTTTTTAACTTACATTTAGCATTTTTTTTTAATTAAAGCCAGCTGAGTGCTCCCTTCGGCAGCACATATACTAAAATTGAAATGTAGGATGCCTGGGTGGCTCAGCGGTTAAGCGTCTGCCTTCAGCCCAGGGTGTGATCCTGGAGACCCGGCATCCAGTCCCGCATCGTGCTCCCTGCATGGAGCCTGCTTCTCCACCTGCCTGTGTCTCTGCCTCTGTGTGTGTCTCTCATGAATAAGTAACTAAAAATCTTAAAAAAATAAAATAAAATTTGAATGTTAGAAGATTAGTATAGCTCCTGTGCAAGGATGACACTCAAATTAATGAAGCATTCCATAATTTGCAACTAATATAACATTGGTTGTCAACTATACTTCAGTATATACTTTTTTATATACTTAAATAAGCTGGGGGAGCCTAGGTGGCTCAGTTGGTTAAGTGTCTGCCTTTGGCTCAGGTCATGATCCCAGCGCAAGTCATGATTCCCCAGGCCCCTGTCAGGTTCCTTGTTGGGGGGGGGGGTTCTGCTTCTCCCTCCCCCTGCTCTTGCCCCCTTGCTCGCCTTCTCCGTCTCTCTCCCTCTCAAATAAAATCTTTTAAAATTTAAAAATAATTTTTTTAAAAAGCTAGCTAAGCACATGCATTCATTACCTCTTCTTCCTGAGACCCATTAAAATGATACGAAACTCATACATAATAGAAAGTGGGAAGAGATCACCAAGACATAATTTTTTCTTAATTTACACACCAAGTGAGTACAGTCTGACTAAACAAAATGAAAGAAACTGTAATGTGTAATAGGTGCAGGAGGTGCTACAGCCAATAGGGAAGTGAAATAAACATTCCTATATAGAACAGAAGAACCCTTGAACCCTTCCTTATCTTGGATACAGTACCCTAGGCATTTATTCCAGGCTAAAAATCAAGAGTTCTCATAATCTCTGGGGAGGAGCTGGGTGGCTATTTGAGCATTTAATGTCTAAGAGTAAAGCAGTCTTCATTCTGGCACAATAGCTATTTCTCTACCCACTCACCCCTGAGTGAAGTTGTACAAGTTGGCAAGACCCGCCCAAGTTCACAAGGTTTCTAATCATTCCAATTACTTCATCTTAAACATAAACAGACAACCAAGGATTAGATTATTTGATATTTAAAAGCAGTTTCAATTTAGGGGGAGGGAAGAAAGATAAACAGAAAAAGTGGCCATAGAGGAAATAGAGAAACTTCACAGAACTTGAAAAATAATTAGTATACTCATGGACTTTCATTACACCTGTGAACAAGAATAACATATTCAGTATACTTAGATGAAGTATTTTATTTATTTATCCATGAATAAAAGGTAGGTCTTGAAATTATAAATAAGAAATCGCCAAAATTATCAATTCACTTGAAGTGTTAAAAGATTAAGTGAATGAAATTTTTTAAAATAGGAGAAATACAGGGGCACCTAGATAGCTCAGTCAAAAAAGCACATGATTCTTGATCTCCCAATCATGAGTTTGAGCCCCATGTTGGATGTAGAGATTACATAAATAAATAAATAAACTTTAAAAGAAAAAGAAGGGACACCTGGGTGGCTCAGCAGTTGAGCATCTGCCTTTGGCTTAGGGTGTGATCCTGGGCCTGGGGATTAAGTCCCGCATCCATGGACCCCAAACCTATACATATACAATGGAATATTACTCAGCCATTGGAAACTACAAATACCCACCATTTGCTTCAATGTGAATGGAACTGGAGGGTATTATGTTGAGGAAGTAAGTCAGTCGGAGAAGGACAAACATTATATAGTCTCATTCATTTGGGGAATATAAAAAATAGTGAAAGGGAATAAAGGGGAAAGAAGAGAAAATGGAAAATATCAGTGAGGGTGACAGAACATGAGAGACTCCTAACTCTGGGAAACGAACAAGGGGTGGTGGAAGGGGAGGTGGGCGGGGGGTTGGGGTGACTGGGTGATGGGCACTGAGGGGGGCACTTGACGGGATGAGCACTGGGTGTTATGCTATATGTTGGCAAATCAAACTCCAATAAAAAAATTATATACAGGGGCAGCCTGGGTGGCTCAGCGGTTTAGCGCCGCCTGCAGCCCAGGCCCTGATCCTGGAGACCCGGGATCCAGTCCCACGTCAGGCTCCCTGCATGGAGCCTGCTTCTCCCTCTGCCTGTGTCTCTGCCTCTCTCTCTGTGTGTCTCTCATGAATAAATAAAATCTTAAAAAAAAAAAAAAAAGTAATTCTACTTCTGGGATTAAATCTTCCTTTAAAAAAAAAAATATATATATATATATATAAAAGGAAAAAAGAGATCTGTAAATCAGAGCTACTTGGAGTGCTTGTTGAAGCGAAAAATGTCCTACCCTCATCCCCACTCACCTCACCACCAATTTTGATTCATTAGATATGGAATAAAATTGGAAAATATGCATTTAAAAAAAAAAAGTCCCGCATCAGGCTCTATGTAAGAAGCCTGCTTCTCCTTCTGCCTATGTCTCTGCTTCTCTCTGTGTCTCTCACGAATAAGTAAATAAAATCTTTTTTAAAATAAAAAATAATAAAGGAAGAAAATCAATCCAAGAGGACTAATATTACAAGAGAAAGAGAAAGCAAAGTAAATAAAAGATGGAAAATTACTAAAAAAAATAATGGAAGAAAACTTCCCAGAGCTTAAAGTGTCTACTAGTGCAGAGCAATAACAAAGAAAAAACAACCTTGTAAAATGTTGAAGTTCAAACATTATACCATTATTGATGATATAAAGGTAAAAATAGAGTGGACAGTTAAAGATGTGGAACTTAGGGAGAAAAGATACAAGTAAAGATAAAAGTATTCAAGAGATTATTATTGGCAGAACTTTTCTGGTTTTAAAATGCATGTTAGAAGTAGAAAAAGTAACCAATGGAGGAACAAGGAATTGTTAGTCTATTTTGAGAGGGTAGGAAGACACAAGAAACAGGATTTATAAGTAAGCTAAATCATCATTAATCTAGGTAGTTCATCAAGAAATGGTAGCAGAAGACTTAAAGTATTATAATGGCAATACTCCCCTATTCTGCAGATTCTATGCATTACTATTAAAATCTCAGCTGCCTTTTTTTTTTTCCAAAAATTGACAAGCTGAGTCCCTCACATGGAAATATAAGGGATGCAAGATAGGCAAAATAATCCTTA